TCCGCCTCCTCAACCGCAAGTGCAGGAGGGCAGTGTTCCCGCCGGACCTCAACCGCAAGTGCAGGATGGCAGTGTTCCCTGCCAGACCTCAACCGCCAGCTCCGGATGGCAGTGTTCCGCGCCGGACCTCAACCCCCAGCTCTGGATGGCAGTGTTCCCCGCTGGACCTCAACCACGAGTCGGAAGATATGCCAGATAGAACGCCAGAAAGTATGGCAGAAAGAGTGCCGGAAGACATGCCAGAAGGAATGTGAGAAGAGATGCCAGAAATACAGAAGATATGCCAGATAGAATGCAAGAAGATCTGCCAGAAAGCATGTCAGAAGAGATGCCAGGAAGAATGTCAGAAGATATGCCGGAAATAATGTCAGCACGTCGGGTGAAAGAATGTCAGAAGATACGCCAGAAAAGATGTCAGAAAGAATGTCAGAAGATATGCCAGAAAGACTGCCGATTTCTCCGCCGAATTCCTTTGAAAAGGTTGGAACGAGGCATTCCAACACACATTTGTGTTTGAAGAGGGTGCCAATTTGCGCATCACCCCGCAAGCGGCCAGCGAAACATCACAACCATCTCACAATTTGGAATATTGAGCGCAGATTCCGCGGCTGACCAATGATCCTATCTGCAATATGGCCCTCGTGATCACAATCGCTTGAGGTGATCTTGATCATTCAGTTCCCATGTCCAAAGCCGTCTGGCAACGCATTCAGCCTGGAGGAAATCCCACACCTGGACTCCTGCGAATGGCAAAGTTTAGGCCTAGGTCAGTGTCCACATTACAAAACTTGATACGTTCCTAGGTGTATCCTGTGCACGTGCGCAGACCCTCAGGGATAATGGGCAACACACCACGACAAACACGACGACAGCAACCAGTGACAAACACATGTTATATCACAATGAAACACCAAATGCGCCTGGGCTGCCTCGCCAGTCACCCCGACCCTGTCATCCTACCACTGTAATTTTGGCGGGTGGGGGTGGAAAAAAAACATATTTTTTTGGGGTGTCTTTGGTGAGGCACCTTTTGTATGGGGGATTTGTTTGGCCTATTTTGCAAGGTTCTGCTTCAGCAAATCCCAGGAACCATGCCACGTGGGTGATGCCGACCGTGGACCGTGATGAGTACTTCCGGGTCACCGGACCGAGCGAACTTTTCGGCACCCCTTCAGTGCCGAAGAATTATTTCCACACCGTGTGGGATGCCATTGTTCGCCATGAAGGCTGGAGGGTGTTTTAACAACGGTCACCAGGCCCATGGTGGAAGACAGCAGCATCCAGCACCACTTCTGGTGTTTTGTTTGGCAGGTCTCAACCTCTTGGGCGTACACAGCGCCATTGTGAGATTTCGGATCATAAATATAGGCCTTGTTCTAGTTTGGGGTTTGATACATTGAAGCATACGGTGGGTTTTTTGGCTGCAGCATGTGGGATTGGCTTATAGACCTGGGTGTCCCAAATGAAATAGGGAGGAACTCCAATTAGCATAGTGCTGCGGGGAAGGTAGATTCATTTTCCTATCAGAAGATACATGACAGTCCAAGGCTGCCCAAATCCACATAAAATAGGTGTGTCATAGGGTCTGAAAGGGTCTGTGTGAAGAAGTTCCATCAACCGTGTAGGGGTGCTTCAATGTGCCACATGCCCAGTCCGCAAGGCAAACGAGTGGAAGACGTGAAGAGCATCACCTTTGACCTGTACCGCTTCGAGCTGCCCTCGCGGGACGAGCTGACCATTAGTTCGACTATGCAACAAGCAGAGACACAGGTGGCACCCTTCTGCAGGGGCGAGGGCAAGAGGGGCTGGCCCAAATTTGTGACTTGGTTGAGTTAGTCCGTGCTGTTGGGCTGGAGTCATTTTTGTTCTTGGTTGGTTGGGTGTGATGAGATTCCCGGGATGGAGTGGAACTGAAATGAACTCCGGGCGCGACCGCGCTGCGCACAGGTCTACAATGTCAAGAATGCGAACTCCGTGTACGTCCATTGGGTCCACAGTTCGGTTCATGGCACGGAGGATCTTCATATTTCGCCCAGCTTGGGAGTCGCCAACCACTACCGTTCACCCTTTGACTGTGATAAGCTCCCAGCAAATGTTTCGGATACCACGTTGCAGACTGATGTCGTGGCCTTGGAAGAGGCCCTTTTGTTTGTCGTGTCGAGATTTAACTTGGCCCACATCTTCTTTTAAAGATGTTGCTGTTTGGTGCTGACCCAGGCCCCCATCAGGTCTCCAGTCAGGTGGATCCAGGTTTCTCAGAGTCATGCCATGTCCCAGGCTTTGGCAGCACGCTTCCAACGCAACCCGCGCGAGTTTTTGAAGTACCTCAGCCACAAGCACCCTGCGCCTGATGTACACGAATCCAACTGGTTTTCTGCCACAGATCGGCTTACAACATCCTGGAAGGCTGCGCTGCAAGAGTATATTCCAGTTGACTGGTTTTTCGCGCTGCCGGGGCAGATGATGGATCAGTTCTTCCTTGCTGAGACTGGCATGTTTGACCAGCTTAAGTGGGATGACCTGCAAATGTTTGGGTAAGACTTTTCGCAGTTTCACGAATACCTTGATCGCAAAAACAATAAATTGGCCGGTGGCGACTGAGGCAGGCAGTAGCATCGAAAACTGGAAAGACACGTTGAAGTCAATCACAACTCCCTATGGATCCACATGCCGTGATTGGAAACTATTAATCCCGGAGGGGCCATTGCATCCATATAACACGGATGATAGAGACAATGGGGAAAATAACTTAACGACGACAATGCTGTATATGATGGACGGTTGACACCTTCGTATCGCAGCCACGATTCACCTGTGCATGTCAATGAGATTAGACCAAAATAGTTGATCCCAAAGTGTCCACATTGATCCAAATATGAAGTTGGTGATCGTTGGTGAGCTCTTCAAAACAGTCAAGCTCTTCTCTAGCTATCCTAACAATCATGGACCCTGTGGCCCAATGAATCGGGCCTGGTGGGTTCGAGGATACGTCCGTGTCATTTTTCCTTTTGGGACATTTCTTGAAACAAATTGTGTTTTTTGGCATCTTTTGGCATATTTCGTCTTAGGCGTGATCACAGCCACACTTGTTCTTGGAAACCTCGACAAGTCTATATAGTTGGGCAAATAGCCGGGAGGGAATATCTATCCTGGTTCAAAGTCTATTGAGTTAAATAGGCTTTATATAGCCTATTCAGTTGAACAACCTGGAGAATTGATTTACGAATTCTAACTAATACCGAGAATTTCGACCATTCTTTAATCAAAGGAGAATAGTTATATAGGTAAAATTTCGTCAATCCTGCCTCGCCTCATCCTCGAGGCAGTTTAATTTTTAGCAGCCTGAGGCCACCACAGAAGGAGAAAGCTGGGTTTGGGTAACCGCATGTCACGTCCAGTTTTGGTTGGGTAGTTTTCAAAGTTTTGGCTGACATGTTCAAATCCCACACTGGCACCGCTAGCTCTTGGAAGTGCTTAACTTAGGAACCCACCACCATTCTTCAGGGCAATCTGTCCATTCTGTGCGTTTCGAGACCTTAATAATCGGACCAACGGCGGGGAGGCAGACCGGCCTGTCGCTCCTCCTAGACACTCCGCTAACATCCGGTGAACTGCTGAACATGTCAATTATGTTTGGGCCTTGCTTCCTATTTGAAGGGTCATGTTCCCAGTGTCTTGAGGCTCAAGCACATGGCAAGAACAGCGGACCCCATTTTCGAAGAGTGCTCACACGTCATGCGGCATGAAGGGAACCTTTGAGTTGCCGTGTTTGGTGCACATGGACTGCCGTAGAGCAAATCATAACTTCTTGGGGAGTTGGTATTCATCACTCTTGAGTTTGTCTTGCGAAGCAAGTGTAGGCTCCTCCGGGTCTAGTGATTGATAGTTCAATTCAACCCCCCCCCTTGAAGTTGATTTTTCAATAGAGATACCCCACCCCCTCGAATGGATTTTTCAATAGAGACCCCTCCCGCCCCCTTCATGATCCGCTTCGTCCCGAAGTGGATCATCTCGATGCAGGTCATTTGGTTTGCGAGCACAGCGGCAATGTGGACCGTGAGTCAACAATATACATATTTAATACAGTATACATCTTATATCACAATCTCAAGTTGGCGCTTCAGCCAACTCCACCAACACCAGATTCAATGGCTTGTTGATCATTGTGTTGATCAACAGTTGTCAGTTAAATTCACGGGATTGTCCCAAGTCTTTTGATTTAGGCATGATCAAGGCCATTGTGGTCTTACCCCTATCATCTCCTGCTCCGAATAGCTGACAATGCTATTCTCCTCCCACTGTCCTACCTTTTGTGTCTCTCTCCTCTCAAGTGTAATGAAGGATAGCGTGACCGTAATGAATCCTTTGTTCATGCAGCGAATGTTGTTTCTTGCTGTGCCTGTGATATGTTCCCTTTTGTGTCGGCTTCGTTTGGCACAAAACCAGTGCCCTTGTAGCCACTTAGCGGTTGCGACACGTGCCACGACCTGGCATTCCGATTGAGAGGAAAGACAACGGCGCGTTCAATCCAGCAAGGCTTTTTCAGTCAGGATAGACTTTGTTTGCTCCTCGGCAGAGGCTTCAACTTTCAAGAAGCTAGTAGCAGCTTGCATTGTCAGCGGCACACTTCAACGCTGAGATCATCGAGTATCTCCTGCAACAGCCTGAGGGAGTGATCATTTGATCAAGTTTGGCAAGGCAAGGAAGCGTGGGAGATAGATCTCCGAGGACGCCGCCAGGACGAGGAGCAGACCGGAAGATTAAGGACAATGGCCTGTTCGACCACAACCAGCAGCAGCGGAGGGGAAGCATGTGATCCAAAAACCTCCAACAAAACAGCGCCCCTCCCCCAGAATCCGCCGCTTCTGGCAAGCACGGAGTGTAAGTCCTCAGTGTAAGGGTATTAGGATCAGAAGGCCAGGCTGGCAACATCTTGAAATTGACCAACACCTTGGCTCAAGCGCCGGTTTTCCTATATCGAAACGTATGTACATTTCCACATGCTCTCGCTTGTGCTGGCCTTGGCTGCCCGAGCGGTAGTGGCCTGCGAGGAAGATTGCAGCAGTTTGCTCCAAGCACGGGCGCCGGTGGCCCAATACACCGTAGTCGAGCAACAAGAGATTGCTGCTTGGTGGTGCGGGGGACAGGGAAAGGTGAAGGCAAGAACGTAGATATATACCTCCAAAGGAAGATTGTTGAGCATGGAATGGTGTTTCTCCAAGCAGGTTGGCTTTGTGTGATTTCTCCTGTGTGTGGCCTCGTGTGGGTTGCTCTCATAGGAATGCTCTGATATTTTGGTGGACCTGTTTGACACGGAGAATCGCCCAGACAGAAAGAAAACAAAACCGTGAGTATGTGTGTGTAGCCTTTGGAGTCACAAGGTTCCTGTTGGAGTGTTTCTTTTTAAAATTCTATAGCAGGGGGCGACAGGGTCGCTGCATGGCTGTCGCCAACGAAGCTCCATGCAGTTGACTAGGACTGGGACCTAGGATATCACGGCTGATCACCGTGACGTACCTGCGATGGTTGAACTTTTGAACAAGCTGTGACTCCACTCTCCAGTAAAGGTCTAATGAGTTCTGCAGACATGAGCGCACGTCGTCAACCTGTCGCCGAGAGCCGGGGTTCGTGACCTTCAAGACTGTTGTAGCTTTGGAATGCGTTGGGGGCCTTCCTTTTTCAGACTTACTCTTGGTACTCTTAGGCGTTCATACCTAGGTGGGCGTGTGGCAAGTGGCTTTCAGTTCCGTACGCGTAATCTCATGTGTGTGTCTCAGGTTTGGAACATCGCCAGAGGGATCAATTACACGCTCCAGTTTTTCAGCATGGTTCCGACCTTCGGTGCCGATGGGAACTACATCGCCTTGCTCCATGAGTTTGACCCTGTACTCTCGAAGCTTGGCGCTGAAGAATCGCAACTGATTAGGGCCCGTTTGCAAATTTAGCCCATTCCTTTCCCACCAGTTCTTCCCACGCCACAGGTACTAGCACTGCTTAGATGTGCTGGGGGTTAACTAACTACTTAAAAGGGTTAAGTCTTACAGTTAAGAGAGTTAGGACAGTTAGCTTTAATAAAAAATAACCAGTTATGTAACAAGTTAGCTAAGTAGTTAGCAAACAGTTAACATACAATTTATCTTTAGAACATACAATGAAATAGCAAACACTTTTGAAAGCTAAGTTTACATAAAACCAAAAACATATTCACAAAAATGACATGAGCCAAAATGGCTGACTGACTGAACATGAGCCTTGGAAGGCTATACATGCAAATGCCTGCATGAGCCATTCAGGCTTGAAAGCAACAGCTACCTTATAGTGAAGGGCAATTGCTTTTTCACCTCAAGTGCCATGGAGTCAAGGTAGTCAGCTTCTGACTGCTTTTGGAATGGATCACAGCTGTAAACAAGTGCTTCAAATCAACAGCTTGGATGGTGTCTTCATCATACCACTCAGCATATGTTTCAAACATATTGCCCATTGTGAAGACATTGATGACTGCAACCTCTTGGCTCTGGTTGCTGAAGAAAGTGATAATCTCACCTGCATCAAAGCTGTGCCCCCTTGAGCTTGTAAAATAGACAATATCACCTTTTGAGCAGGTGCCAGATTGAACCCTTGCGTGGCTGCTGGTGCAAAGGTCTTCAAGCCTGTCCCAAATGGCAGCAGCCAGAGGAAGAAGCTTTTTCCCACAGGGCTTGGGGTTAGGAAGGGCTGGATGATTTGCAAACACATCAGGGCTCTTGACCCTCTCCAATTCCAAAGTGATGATTTCCAAGTAGAGCGATTGCTCACCCGCCTCATGTTTTGAATTCCAGTGGCAATTCTGCCAGGGACTTTGTTCTTACGCTCCATGCGAAAACACCCAGGGATGATTTGGTGATGCTGTAGCATTTGGTGGAAGTGCAAAAGCCAATGGTGTTTTTTTTACCATTTTTCCACCCCAAGTGTTTCCACTTGCTGAAGCAATCTTCAGCCACTTGCTGCAGTTGGATTGGCTGCACCTTGCCATGCCATGTTGATTGGAGAAGGTCCAAGAACAATACCAATGCAAGAATGAGATCTGTTTCCTCCTTGTGGGCACCTGAGGGAGCAACTACAGTTCTGGCAAAGTGTGCCAAAATAGACCCCAATGTCAACAACTCAGAAGCTGTAGTGTTCATTTTGCCATGAGACCTGTGCTTTTGCAACCGCTTCTGCTCAAGGAGTGGTGCCAGCTTGATTCCACCCAAGGTTTTGGGCAAGGAGAACTTTTGCACATACCCACACAGGAGAGGCCATTGGTCCAGCTCCTCCAGCCAGTTGAAGACAGCAATGTTGATAATACCATTGCTCCACATGCAGTGCATATAGTCCCAAGTGTTCTGTGTTGTAGGATCAAGGATGCCCCTCAAATCCTGGCGAGCCAGGAGGGAATGAGGAGACCAAGAGATCCCACTTGCTTGCTCCCATTGCCTAAAATCTTTTTTGCTCAAAACAGAATGCCTGGCTTCCATTCTGTCCCAGCTCTGGAAGATCTCATGCCTTTGCACAGGGTGGAGCTGCCTGAAATGGGTGAACTTGGAGACTTCAGACAAACTGTCTTCATCATCAGCAAATAGGAATACATTTGCACACTGCTGGCAGAACCTAGAGCCTCCATCACCTGTAGTACTCCAAGCAAACTTTGATGCTTGCCCATCCATTTTAAAAAAGCCCAGCTGTAGCTTCAGTCTCTTACCCACAGGGTTTTGACCAGGGGGCTCTTGCAATTGAATGCCCAGCTCAGTGACATTGGCATAATTGCTATTGAAAATTGAAGATAGCAAGCAAGCACAGACTTGAGATAGATGGCCATCGAAACTTGCTACAGTAGTTGATCTGATCAAGCCCACTGTGACCCAGGCATGCTCGCATTGAATTGCAGTGTGGAATTCTTTGATGGTGAGGTAAATGCACCAAATCTTCCTTGAAGTTTGATGTGCCAACACATTGCCTGGTGTGATTTCATCTGCATAAAGCAGGAGTGACAAAGGGCCTTGGTGGTTAGCCAAGGTCGACCTAAGCAAGGACCAGAAACCACCACCTGCTTTGTAGGCACCATGTACCCAGGAAAGGAAATTGACTAAGGAAATTGTTTTCTTTTCTTTTGTGGTGGTGATCAGATAGTGGTCAAAAAGCAAAGGGCCATAGCCATTCATTGTATCCACCACTGCTTGGCACCCTTCTGTCATTTGCTTTGGTTGAGACATTTCAGGTATGCCTTCATCTTTGATGTGTGCCAAAGTCTTATGCAATGCGCTCTTGCTACATTGAGGAATAACTTTTCCTCAATGAAGTAATCTTTGCCAACTTGCTTGGCCTGCTTTCCATCAATGAATTCAGAAAGCATTAGGAAACATAGCCAGAAAACCATTGCAGCACCAGTGTTCAGGAACTGCAGGGCCCATTGTGCAGCAAGAGTCATGTATATATACAAGAAAGCTAAAAAAGGTTGCCATGTTCTCTAACTTAGTTGGTTCCACCTGTGGTGGGGCACCTGGTGGTGCATGTAAGTGCATGCGCCCATAATCATTTGATATCAAAGGCATGCTGGCTTGGACACTATCTTGACCCTGACCTACAATAAGTTAGTTGGAAGAGCCAAACCCACATGCAGTACACATTGAGTACAAAAGCTTGCGCAACAATGGGAAGCAAGGCGCCACCATGATAGAAACCAGGCTTGAATGCCAGAAATGGAAACTGGAAATACATGAGCCATGCTGGCAACAAAGCTACATGAGCCATACTGGCTAAATACATGAGCCAAAGTGGCTAAAATACATGAGCCAACTTGGCTGAAAAGAAACTAGCTAAGATATTAGAGACATGAGCCATAAAGGCTAACAGAGTTGAGCCAAAGCACCCTAAACACATAACACAAAAGTAACTCAACATATTCAGTTGTATAAGCAGCTCTATTTTCACAGCCATGGCAACTTGGGGTCTCTCTGCAGAGTTGTCACCCCTTCAAGTGCACCTAGTATGCAGGTACCTTGACCCATCTGCACCCAAGCAGCAGGCACTGTGGCTTACTTAAAAGTTTCAGCCACAAACATGTCAAGCCTTTCTAGAATTGAACCATCTCTTCCAGGCATCTCTGCCATTGAGTCGCAATCCCTGGAACCCTTGCTTCTTGCAAGTGGAGCATCCAGATGTATTGCCCCTGCACCGGATGCAACCCCAGCAATTCCCAGCAGGCTTGGATTGCTTCTTGTCACAAGCCTTCAAGCACCCTTTGGCCTTTGCCTTTGGCCCAGGCTTTGCTTTTGCTTTTGGGCAAGACTTTGCCTTTGGCAAGCTGTTGGGAACCTTAGAGCAAGCTGGCCTTTTGAAAGCCTTACCACCATTCTGCTTGCCTTGAAGTCTCTGGAAAGCCTCTTTCTCATAGTCTTCCAAGCTTTGAGCCTGAGGGGG